TTTTTTTTTTTTTTTTTTTCAATCATGGAATTTCCAATGATTGAATGGCAATTCTCAATTCAACCCGGATTTATCCTGGCAGCATTAGCCAGTTTCGTTTTTGCTTATGAAAAACCTGTTCCAAGAAACTTGTCACTCGGGATGAAATCCATTTTCCTGGTTGATTTTTTTCCAGGTGCTTGCCTTTCATTGTCTTTGGGGGGGCTTGCAACGGTTTTCTCCTGTTCTTGACGTTTCCCTTTTGCCCTCGCTGTATCTTGTTAAAATTTTGAATAGAGGGCCCTTTGGGACACCCCTGATTGCTTTCTATCCTGTTCTTGGTTGTAATGAATGATGCAGGACACAGCTGAAGAGGACGGAAGGAAAGCCAGAGTGAGTCCTTATCTCAATTTCCAATAGTGCATGGTTCCGCCTTTTAGTTTGGAGTATTGATTTCGTGTGTGGCTGTTCCTTCTTGTCGGAAGCCGGTTGGGTATAGATGGCGCAGTATTGTACTTGTTGTTGTAAGAATGAAATTCCAAAGCATAAAAAATTGAATGAGTCGGCTGCCTTCGTAGTACGTAAGAAAATAAACAAGAGAAGTCACAAAATAAAAGATAGGGCACCCACCCTTTACATCGGTATACTTGTCTGGTTTTGCAGTAGCAAAGAACTGTCTGGGGTTCTCGTGGAGTCCCGAAACGTGGGGAAAATACCCAAGATCATAGCTCAGTGGGTACACCCATGAACTCATGAATTACAGACCCGTATTCGAATCCAGGTGATACGACTTGTGATGAGTAACACCAAATATATACATCCTCCTGATGAGTCGATGAAACTCCTAGGAAACAGTTTGTCACAGCCCCTCGTTTGTTGTCCTCTTCTCCCTCTCTGCCTACGGTTTACCGGGCAGCTCTGTTTGACTATACCCCCTTTCTCTCATTGCCTCCTGAATCCTTTCAGGGGCTGTATTTCATTCGGCAGGCTTTTTGATAACCTGCTAGCTTGTTGTTGTTTTCTTTATGCTTGGACACTATTAGCCCTATGTATTTGATCTGGTTCGTTGCTTAGCGCTATGATTTCGTTATTGCATGATCTGGTTCGTTGCTTAGTGCTACGATTTCGTTATTGCATAAGGTACTGTGCGCATAAGGACTGTGGTGGCGGTCACCAAAAGGACACAGGTTGTAACCCTTTCCCTGTGTAGTGGGTGTAGTTATGGCCCAACATTCTGTTGGCTCACTGTTAATGGTGAATACCATATGAACAGGACGGCGGCAGGATGAGTTCCCAACCTGGCCGCCGGGCCTAAAATCCTGCCTTTTTATGTGCCTTTTCGTCTCTTCTGGTACCAAAGAATGTAAATTTTTAAAAAAATAGAATCGATACTTTTAAGGGAAATTTTTTGAAATGTCCCCTGAACTTTGCGTTTATTTGCGGCGTGCCCCTCTGACGGTTGACTTACGTTGTTGCGCCCCTCTGATGACGAATGATGTTTGCAGAAAACCCCTGGCGATGTTTGGGCCTGAAACATGTTTCATATGCCCCTACCGGTACCAGTAGCAAATTTTCAGTATGCCCCTACCGGATGGCCGTTGAGAACCATCACAGAAGTTTCCCGTATGCCCTTACTGGTACCGTCCATCTTCCCAGCGAGCCCCTGTGGCCGTTGTTGACACTCGCAGTCTTTCCCCTGGCCCCGGGAGAGGTGCTACTGGGGCGTATCAGAAATTTGGCGATGAGCATGGACACACACATGCGCGCGCACACACACAACACACATACACACACACGCGCGCACACACAACACACATATACACACACACACGCACACACACACGCACACACACACACACACACACATATACAGACGCGCGCGCGTGCATGGGCGATGACGCCAAGAAAACAGCCATGGTGATGGTTAGGAGGTGGACAATCGAGGAGGAGGAGGGAGGAACGAGGGAAGAGGAGGGGAAGAGGAGTAGGGAGGACAAGGACTCTGACGATGACGGACGAGGATAGAGGATGGAGGCTGGACGAGAAGAGAGGAGAGCGACGAGGACGGAGGAGGAGGAGGAGGGAGGAGGAGGGAGGAGGGTGATGAGCATGGACACACACGCGCGTGCAAGCTCCCCTTCGCACGGTAGCCGCATGCACTCCAACTCATTGATCACTGACGCGGCAAACTAGAAGACTCATTGGTGCACCATTTTTCTGTGGCGGCGCGTGAAATGCTACCACTTCAAATTCGAATTCCTGCCGCCACTGCTGCAAGGGCATCACAGAAAGATTTGTGCCCCTCGTGAGGGCATTTCAAGGATGGACCGATGAAACGCCACCAGCAGTCCAGTAAGGGCAATAAACACCCCATGCTGACAGGGGCCTGCGGAAAATTTCAGAGGCCCGAGGGGCACCACAGGGTAAGTCAGCCTTCACAGGGGCACGCTGCAAATAAATGCAAACTTCGGGGGCATTTTGGAAATTTTCCCTACTTCTAAACAAATCATGAATTCACCACAAAGGAATAATCAGGGGATTCTCGGGAAGTTTCCTACTGTTGGCATGGTAGGCGTAGTTCCAGGCAACATAGGTCAGGGAATTCTTGGTAGATTTTCTGTCGACACTACATTAGGCACGGTGGATCAGGGAATTCCTGGGAGATTTATTGTCGACATTACGTCACGCACAGTTTCTCACAATAATCCTCGACTCTTCTTTGCTTTTTCCTGCCAAACCCATCGAAACGCCGATTTCACACTTCGTGTTGATTGCATTAGGCACCTTCATGGAATACTGACCTCTACTCTGCAGGCACTTGGCGCAAGAGGCGATTGCAACAACTTAACACTGCGATTCAAACAAAGCGTTTTGAGTTGCAATTGAGAGGCATTGATCAGCAGGCACTGCAATCAGGTATGGAGCCTCTCTGTCCGGGGAGTGATTTATGCCATTGTTCATATCCCTCCTGGACGTCTTTACATAGGTCAGACTATGCACTCCTCGCATCGACGCTTGCAAGAACATTGGCATGTTCGTCGTTCTGTTGCGGAGTTTTGACGTTGCTGCCTCCACAGAGTCGTGTCTTGTCAAAATCCCTTCAATTTTGCAGTGTGGCCCCGGGAACGTATTGACCCGGCCCTTTGCCTTACATCGCAAGGTCTTGTTGACCGTAACCTTTTTCGACGGAGTGCTACGACACGGTAAGCCTATTGGGTGCGCTGGCTGCAGACTCTTCATCCAGCTCGTCTCAACGCTATCCTGCCGCTTGCTTGCCTGCCTGCAAGAAGACAACAATGCCGTCCTCATCACTGGACACAAACAGCCCCTCATCCGTCAGACCATCAACGGCCCCAGCCTATTGATTTGGGTCCAGGTCTCGACTTTCAAGTCCGTCTGAACTATACAATCTTCTTTCAGAGGCTGCTGCTGGCAATTTGCAACAGATGGAATTTGTCATCCAGCGAGCAACATCAGTTTGGCGTGCCCGCTTGCTGCAGTGGTTAAGCAATAATGTCGCCAATGGAGATATGACTGCGCATATCGGCTCGCTTGAATGACTGATTCGAAAGCATCAACATGCCCGCCAGTGATACACAACTCAATCTCGAGATGCCTGCCTTGATCATATTAAAGTTGTGCACATGCACGAGGTGTCTCAAGTAATGGGGCTGCTACAAACCTTGCATGCACCCCAGGTGCTCCACTTGCACCCTGACCTTGCTGCAGCACACCTTCGTATCTGTGATAAATTGTTGTTGCTAACTCGTGTTCAATTCCCTAATTTCACGGAAGTCGCGCTCAATGTCACACATGGGGTCTCCCTGCCTGACCGCTCGGATTGTCAATGTTGGAAAGTGTTTCCTGACTGCTCACACTTAGTCGGCGGCCATGTTGTTGCAGCCGACTGTGACATCATTCCTGAGGATCGCCTCCGCGACTTGTTCCATGAGGGCTCAAATTATCGTCTTAACGGACAAATTGCGGATGTGTTTCAGGCTGTTAGAGTGGCGCTCAACCGTTCGTATACGTTGCCAAAGCAACATCTCATCCTTGCACACTGCCACATGACAACCACACTCCTTTCACTCGGTGCACAGGGCTTTGAGACACCTTCAACAACACTTTGCTATTACTCCTGTTGACGAGACCTTATAACCTGGCAATCTGTTGTAAAAACTGCTACCTGTCTTATTTATCTGCTCATTTGGACAGCCCTACCTATACTGTGCCTGTTGTCTCTGTCGCAGATATTCTTGATCGTCACACACTTTGGAACAATCGGTGGAGATATACACACAAAGACACGCTGTCATATATGTTCCATGAGGGCTCAAATTATCGTCTTAATGGACAAATTGCGGATGTGTTTCAGGCTGTTAGAGTTGGCCTTGACGAGTATATTGCTAAATATTTGAGGTTGGTCTGCGAGCAGCTTCGGCCGGCCGCTCAAGACAAATTGCAGCAGTGGCGCTCAACCGCTCTTATACGTTGCCAAAGCAACATCTCATCCTTCCACACTGCCACATGACAACCACACTCCTTTCACTCGGTGCACAGGGCTTTGAGACACCTTCAACAACACTTTGCTATTGTTCCTGTTGACGAGACCTTACATAAATCGGCAATCTGTTGTAAAAACTGCTACCTGTCTCATTTATCTGCTCATTTGGACAGCCCTACCTATACTGTGCCTCTTGTCTCTGTCGCAGATTTTCTTGATCGTCACACATTTTGGAACAATCGGTGGAGATATACACACAAAGACACGCTGTCATATATGTACTATGCACTTAAAGTGCACAAATCGTCCCATGGGCTTCGCAATATTGTCGACGTCACAGAGCGGAATAAATCTCTCTCCGCTGCAGCAATCTCGATCAACTGCGCCGTTTGTTCATGCAGTCAACCACCAACCTCCCCACAAACCCTTGGCCAAGCTTCTGCACGCCTCAACTTTGCGCTACAAGGAGTCGTTGAAACTCTTCTTGAGAAGGATAATCTGTTGTATCAGCAATACAGTGTGAGGCGGTGCTGGATCGTGCAAAGCGCTGAGGAGGTGATACTTGATCTCAAACGTAATTCATCTTTTCTTCGTGACCATGGTCCTCGCACTATTGACTTCACAACTATGTATACCAATCTTCCTCATGACCACATGTGTCATAATGTATCAAAAGCGGTTGAGGACGGCTATACATATGCCTTACAACAACACACACAACCTATATATATGCCTTACAACAGCACACACAAGGGCACACACATCCTCCTACCCTTAACATGATTGTTAAAGGGCCCTGTGAAGGGGAGTGGGTTCATGTGGGACCAAACACCTTGTTCGTTTCCCAAATTCTTGAACATCTTTGTTTCATTGTCACAAACACGTATCT